AAAGGGAAACCCTTGTACACTGTTGGCGGGAGTGCAAATTGGTTCAACCATTGTGGAAAGCAGTACGGCAATTCCTCAAAGAGCTAAAAGCAGAACTACCATTTGACCCAGCAATCCCAATAACTGGGCATATAGCCAGAAGAATATAAAGCATTCTACCATAAGGACACATGCACCCGACTATTCACAGCAGCACTGTTCACAAAAGCAAAAACACGGAATCCACCTAAATGCCTATCAATGACAGACTGGATAAGGCAAGTGTGGCACTTATACACCGTGGAATATTATGCAGCCATAAAAAAGAACAAGGCTATGTCTTTTGTGGGAACCTGCATGGAGCTAGAGGCTATCAGCTCAGCAAACTGACGCAGGAGAAGAAAAGCAAATCCCACATGTTCTCACGGAGCTAAATGGTAAGAATTGTGAACACAAAGAGGGAAACAACAGGCCCTGGGTTGTACTTAAGTGGCGGGGGTGGGAGGGGGGACGTGGGACGAGGGAGAGGAGCAGAAAAGAGATAACTATTGGGTACCGGGCTCAATACCCGGGTGATGTAATAATATGTGCAACAAGCCCCGGTGACACGTGTTTACTTATGTAACAAACCCTCCGTGTACCCCAAAACATAAAATAAAAGTTTTAAAAAACATTACAGTGCAAGTCTATTGATGATAAATTCTTTCGACTTCTGTATGTCTAAACACCTACTATTTTAACTTCATTTCAAAAGATATTCGTTGAGTATAGACTTAAGAGCTGACATTTATTTTATTTGGCGATCTTAAAGATGGGGTGCCACATGACTTCTGACTTCCATAGTGCTAATGACAAGTGTGCCGTCATTATTTTCTTCGGACATCTAAATGTTTCTCATGTTTTTCCCTGATTTTATGGTTACTTAGGAGAAGGATAAATCTCTGGGAGAGCAGATGGGTCAAACGTCATGGATGCGCACGACGCCTTCTCTGTGCATACGTAGCACCTTGGATATACCTTAGATGATGCGTGGCAACGTGGATGCATCGTGAAAGCACAGGGCTCAGTGAAAATAAAATTAAGAATCTGCCGGATACTTGTATTTCCAGCCGTGACGGATTAACAAGAACCAGATTTCCCATCTCATCTAAATATGTATAGACCAACAAATTATAAGGCTTAACATCGTGGCACCACCCGCACATGGGACAGTGATCCCTGAGAGAAAGGGAACCTGACCACAGTGATCCCTGTGAGAAAGGGAACCTGACCAGGTGAGCCCTCTGATCGCCCAATCCCACCAACTTCCTGTCCGGATAGAGTTTGCAGGCTGCAGCACAGGGGAGCTGAACACAGCAGAGCCCGGTGGACAGTCCGAGTGAAGGAGACAGAGTGAGAGCTCGAGAGGTCCCTCCGACCAGAATTTGCTGGGAGTAACGGAGAGAGGCAGCTCTGGAGACCCTTCAGAGGTTGCCCATCTGGATGCAGTGTATGAGAAAGGGGGAGTGGCGATCGATGACTCCAGTTTCTGGAGTGAGTGGTTGTGTGGATAATGGTGCCATTTACTGAGATTGGGAAGATGGGTGGGGCGGGGGGGAATGGGAACCGGAACGATGGGGCTGTGTGAGTGTGTGGGAGGAGTGAGTATACCAAGTGACAAGTTTTGGACAGGCTAACCATGAAGAGCCCTCGAGACATCCAAGTGGACATGCCACGTAGGTGGGTGAATGTATGAACTCGGACCTCAAAAGTGAAGTTCAGACTGGGGTGTAGATTTTCGGAGTGATTAGCACTTAGCACTCTCTGAAGCTTTCGTTTGCAGGGTGCGTTCCTCTCCCACAGAGGACATGTTACAGGGGAAGGGCTAAAGAGACACGGGCCGCTGACAGGAGAGATTGCTATACAACAGCTGGAGGAAGCCACAGAGCAGAGCAGAATGGATACCGGTCAGCAGAGAGTACGAGCTGCCTGCCATCCTAGCAGTAGCTTCCATTTGCACACAGGGGTCCTGGTGAGGCAGACATAAAAACAAACATACAACTCGACCACGAATTTTACAAACAATCCAGGTTCGACTGGAGATGAGACCACAGCATTTTCTGCCTCAAAGACATCCAAATGGAGATGGCACTTAGGCGGGCGAAAGTACTATGCACTTGGACCTCAAAGTGAATTTTGACCTGGGCTTGTCGATTGTGGAGTCATTAGCTGAGGCACACAGGTGCCTGATTGTCCTAGCGGACACCAGGGGGGTCTCAGCGGCAGCATGATTGATTGTGCCACTGAGATAGAAGAGGCCTGGCAATCTGAGCAGAGAGTGGACCAGGCGGGGCAACTCTCATACCTGGATGGAACCACACAGAGCCACAGAGACAGGGTGGGGGGCCTCTGCCTGCCTGTGTCCTGAAGGCAGAGCAGGAGCTTAGGCCTCCTACAGCACAAACCTTGCTTCTTTGGGACAGACGTTGGGGTGGGGAAGGTCTGTCACTCGCATGGAGGAGGCAGTGCCTCAGTCCCCAGGCCAGCAGGAACAGGAAGTGGGCTTTGGAGTCTGGAAGACCCAGGCCCAAATTCTGCATTTTCTGTTTCCTGGCTCTGTGGTCTAGTTCATGACAATGTGTCTGTGCCTCGGCTTCCTGATCCGTCAAGTGGGGATGCTGACATCCACCTCCCAGGGCTGCTTGTGAGAGGAAGACAAGCCCCAGCACAGATCCTTCTGTGACATACAAGCTGCATAAAGGGTAGCTGAGGAAGCAGATATTCCCAGTGTGTCTGCGGCCAGAGAGTTGGCTGGCGGGGAAGCACACGAAGGGAAGTGCCATCCTCTGGCCGCGTCCGTTTCGTCGCCCCGCAGATTGAGGATTGCCACTTGTTGCAGTTAGAGACCCAGCTCATTAATTGTGAGACCTCGCTAATTGTGACCTAAGGGGCCGTGCGGAGGAGATGGAGCAAAGTGATCCCAGACCAGGCTGGAGGAGTTCGGGTGAAAGGGCAGGGGCAGGACGGAGAAGCCTTGTGCAAAAGTAGGGGGATCAAGAGAGATGATTGGGTGGTCGAGCTGCACCGCAGGGTATGAGTGTGCGCGCCAGCGGTAGGACGAGGAGGAGGGATGAAGTGGATCTGGCGGGAAGAGCCCCCCCACACACACACTACGACTTCGACCCCGCCGCCCACCCACCCACCCGCGGAACCGCATGCGCACTGGGGACCTGGAGGAAAGGGCTTTTGTTGGGAAAGCGGGCGGGCTGGAGGGGTCCGCGCATGCGCAGGCTACCCAGCCGCGGGGGGTGCACGGAGAAAAGGGGCGGGGTGGTCCGGGCTGCTGTGCTGGCAGCAGTAGGCGAGGGCGCGGCTGCGGGGTTCCTGGTGCTGAGGACCGACGCCATTGGAGCCCCGGGGAAGGTAAGGATCCAGCCCCAGGCGGGACCGGGAGAGGACGAGTGGAACCCGACACGCTGCGCCCTCCCTCCGCCTCCGGATCTGAACAAAGCCCAAGCACTCAGAACCGGAACCCCATAGAGCCAAGGTCTAGACAGGATCCCCCCATCACACCAGACCCAGGCGCCGGGATCTGAGCCCTACTGAAACCAGAGCCCAGGATCCTCACCCCCTTAGCAGACCCGTGTGCTCTGAGCTGAGCTCCCTTGGACCGGAGGCCCCACCCCCACCCCAACCACTCCTAGATTACTCAAACCGAGCTGACCGCTTGCCCCCTTCCTGGAGTGCCAGCCCTCCCGTTTGAGGTCTCCAGCGCTCCGATTGGAGTCTCACCTAGGTCCAAGGCCCCCACTCCTCCTCCGCCTCTAGTGCTCGAGCCTGAGCCCCACCTAGGCCCCCCGCCCGGACCTAGCCAAAAGGGTCCCTGGGATTCTGTTTCGCAGAGCTTGCCGCTTGCCGCTGTCGCCGGCAATGTCTGAGCGCTCCCATCTGCTCCCCCCTTCATCCCGGTCCCCTTCTCTGGCCCTTCCATCCAAACCCTTTGTTTCTCTCTCCCCCAATGCATCCCCTTTGGGACTCTGGGGACCCAGCCCTCTATAACACCCACCATTCAAATCTAGCCACTGGGATGGGGAGCCTGCCCATCCTAAACTCCGCTTTCGGTTGCAGCGTCGCCCGCGACCTCCTCTGTCACTTTCCTTGGACTCTGTCCCTGACCAAGTCTACCCATCAGAAAGCCAAATCCTCTTCTCCCCCGCTTACTCCCCTCCCCCCCCCCCCACCGCCTGTTACTGCCTAATATTGCCTAGTAACCTGATGATTGTCGCCCCTCACCTCCCGGGAGATGCTGCCATCCCATTGGATCCCGCCCCCTCCCCCCTGCAGCTGCTTACCCTCCCTCTCAGGCAGAGCTCTCTTCTCCATGGGACCCGCAGCATGGCTGAGGGAAGCTTCGGCGTGCAATCGGAAAACTACAGTGTTGAGGACCTGGACGAGGGTAGCGACGAAGTCGGGGAGGAGAGAAGAATGGTGTGAAGGCAACGACTATGAAGAATTCGGTGCCTTTGGCGGCTATGGCAACCCTCACCAGCTTTGACATCCATCATCCTCAGAGCCTCGGAAGCTTGGGTCCAGGCCTTCGCATCTTGTCGGTGAGGCTCCTCCAGGCCACCTGCTCGCCTCGGCCTTTCCCTGTGAATGGAGGAGGGAGGAGGGGGGAAGCAAGGAGGGTTGTGTGGGAAAGGGCTGCCCAGCTTCCCCCAAAGCTTCCCTCCCCTGCTGGGCAAGAAGAGGATTGGGAAGGTCTGGGGGTGTCCGGGCTGGCTGCTGGGAAGAGGCTTGGCCAGCACAGCGAAGCTAACACAAGTGTGTCGCGAGTGGCCTGCCTTCCCCTACCCCTCTCTCTGGCCTTGCAGAATGAGCCCTGGGAACTGGAAAAACCTGTGCTGGCCCAGACCCTGGTGGAGGCATTGCAGCTGGATCCGGAAAACACTTGCCAATGAGAAGGCCGCCCGTGCTGCCACCGTTGCCCGCGCCGCCGCCTCCAACCGTGCGGCTCGGGCAGCTGCCGCCGCTGCCCGTAGCGCCTTCATCAGGTGATGGCTAGCCACCGGGTGGCCACGCCGCAGGTCTCAGGAGAGGATACACAGCCCTCGACCTATTCTGCCGCCGCCGCCGCCGCCACTGAGGCTCAGGGACCCACCCCGGAAGCCCCCCTTGCTTCTCCGCAGACCTCCCAGATGTTAGTCACCAGTGAGATGGCTGCCCCCGGGGCCCCCGGCAACCTCTGCACAGTCCCAGACAGGCTCCTCGGCCCAGGAGGCTGCTAACGAGGGCCATAGTAGCGCCTGTGCTTTCTCTCGGGCTCCCAGTGCCAGTGAGGTGGACACAGCCACCCGGCCCAACACAGCCTTCCTGGGTCCGAACGATGTCTTTGATTTCACCCAGCCGGCGGGTGGGTCAGTGGCATGGCCTTCCCACGCCCCAAGAGACCTGCCCCAGCCCAAGAGGCTGCCACAGAGGGCCCCAGTGCTGCCTCCGGGGTGTCCCAAATGGGACCTGGCAGGGAGGTGGCAGCCACCGGCCCAAGACCACCAAGTCTGGGAAGGCTCTGGCCAAGACTCGGGGGTGGAGCCTCAGAACGTTGTGGCAGCAGCTGCTGCCAAGGCCAAGATGGCCACAAGCATCCCTGAGCCGGAGGGTGCAGCTGCTGCTACTGCTCAGCACAGTGCTGAGCCCTGGGCCAGGATGGGAGGCAAGAGGACCAAGAAGGTGAGATCCACCCCCCCCCCTTCCCCCCCCCCCCCCCGCCGCCGCCAGGCCACCTCCACACCCCCTGGCTCCTGTCCTTTCCCTCTCCTCCCTCTCCCTCTTCTTCCTCTCCTGTCCTCTTTCCCCTCTCTCTCCCCTCCCCTCCCCTCTCCTCCCCTCCTCTCTCCTCTCAGCTAGTCCGTGTTTCTCCAACACAAGTTTGCTGAGCATGTTTTCACTCCACGTAGTCCCTACCCTCAGGACTGGTGGGAGAAGAGGCTGGCTGAGTGCCTGGCACTTAGTAAGCACGCAGCACATGCCAGCCGCTGCTGGTACTGCTCTCGTTTCCAAGAGCCTGCTACGGGAGAGGTGCATGCCGGGCGCTTTGGCACAGGGAGCCTGGTAGCCCTGGGTCTCTCCTCTCTCGAATGATACAGTCCAAGCACCTGGATGATGAGTATGAGAGCAGCGAGGAGGAGAGAGAGCCTCCTGCGGTCCCGCCCACCTGGAGAGCATCACCGCCCTCATTGACCGTGCGGGCTCAGTTGGCCCCTCGGCCCCCAGTGGCCCCGAGGTCCAGATACCCTCAAGGCACGTACTGTGCCTGCCCCCCCGCAACGTGACCCTTCTGCAAGAGAGGGTAAGAAGCCCACCCTCCCCCATCTCCCCCTCTCCTCCCTTGCGGGCCGATTCTCACCCAGGCCTTAACCTCCCCGAGTGTTCCTCCTTCTCCAGGCAAATAAGTTGGTGAAATACCTGATGATTAAGGACTACAAGAAGATCCCCATCAAGCGCTCAGGTAGGCAGCCTGTGCCCCTTCGCCATCCCCTAGTCTGTGGGCACCCTTTGCTGGTGGGCCGCGGCGGGTCCCTCTGTCGCCATAGGATGACAGGGTCCTGGCCGTGTCACCCTCCGCAGGGCTGACCGGGGGTACAGCTCTGTGATCCCTGCTCAGCCCAGGTGCCTTCTTCCCAACTCTTCCCCCTCCCGCAGACATGCTGAAGGATGTCATCAGAGAGTATGACGAACATTTCCCTGAGATCATTGAACGAGCAACGTACACCCTGGAAAAGGTGGGTGCAGGATGGGAGCAGCTCTGTGGAGGAAGACTGGGTGTGGGGTGGCGTGACCCTGCAGACCCTCAAGGCCCAGTCTCTGGAGCCAACCCTAACCTCCCCTACTCTGAGCCTCCACTGCACCGGCAGTTTGACCCATGCTTCCTGCCCTCGGCTTCTCTGTCTCACGCTCTCTGAGTGTCTCGCCGTCTCGTGACATGGGTCTCATCGCCTCTGCCCGAGTCAGCTCCCACAGGGAGGGTCCTCCGAGTGCTGTCTTCTTCCGCCCTCGCTCAGGACTTTGGATTGCCTGCTGAGGAGCACTTCCACCAGGGAATCGACTCTCTGCCGGCAGGATGCCCCTCATGGAGTCTGGATCTCACACTCTATTTTCTCTCCCATGTAGAAGTTTGGGATCCACCTGAAGGAGATCGACAAGGAAGAAACCTGTATATTCTTGTCTGCACACGGGACTCCTCAGCTCGCCTCCTTGGAAAGTAAGGAAGGGAAAGCGGGTCGTGGCCTTACTCGGTGGTGCCCCTCCCTGCCTGAACCTCCCCCCCCCAACCGCCCCCCAGACAGCGAAGCAGGAAGATGGAGCTTGAGTCCTTGAGTGCGGCGCATAGCTCCCCCCCACACACAGCAAGGGCTGCCTGGTGACTGCTGGATGAAAGGAACACTAGCCTGGGGTGAGGCCTTGCTGCCTCACATCTCCCAAGCCGCTGTCGGGCTTTGCCCCAAAGCTTCCAAGGAAAGTGGCTCGCCTCTTCTCCTGCCTGCCTGGGCTGGGTCCGGCAGAACTGACCTAGGGGACAGCTTCCTCCTCAGTGTAGGTCCTGATGCGGAAGGGGCAGGAAAGGTCTGGAGACGTCTCTGGACACACGTTGACCATTTGCAGAGCTTCGGCTCCCTGCCTCGCCCTGTCCCCTGCAGGACACTGTCGGGGAAGTATTAGTACCCATGCTTTATAGAGGAGGTGATTAAGTCTCAGGCGGAGGTGCGAATGGTCTGCCAGCAGCTAGTGAACCCTGCCTGTCCTGGGAAGAGTTCCCCTCCAGCCGGGAAACCTGAGAGGGCCTGGCTGGGAGAGCCTGGTGTGGTCTCTCAGGCAAATAGCTGCTAAACAGGATTTCTCTTTCCACACCTTTAGAACCAAGGACACTCCCAGGCTGAGTCTCCTCTTGGTGATTCTGGGTGTCATCTTCATGAATGGCAACCGTGCCAGTGAGGGTGAGTGGCTGGACCTGCAGCTGGGGGGCCACCTGCCGTCTCATCTTTTGGGTGCCAAACTTTCGAACCCCCTCTCCCTTCGCAGCTGTCCTCTGGGAGGCACTACGCAAGATGGGACTGCGCCTGGGTATGATGGCTCCCCAGCTCCTCCCTGGGTGCGTCGTCTGGCCCAAAGACGGTCCCAGGATTGCAATAGGCTGTCAGTCTGGCCCAGGGGCATGGGGTGTCCTGGGCTCGGTAGAGAGCAAAGGGTCTCACGGGCGGCAGCAGATGGGAAAGCGGTGCAGACGCTGCTCAGCCTCCTCCCTGCTCTGTGGCCCCAAGATGACATCTAGGAGAGACAGTCAGAGTCAGGGTCTCCATCATGTCCGGAGGAATCCTCTGGCCTCTGCTGCGTGCCCAGGCCTCCACGGCGATGCCCCGTGGGCTGGGAAGTTCCTAGTCATGCTAGCGAGGGCCCCTGCCAGCAAGCAGGGTGGGGCGGGCACTGCCACCGTCTCTGCTCATGGATTCCTTTCCTTCCCCTCAGGGTGAGGCACCCATTCCTTGGCGATCTGAGGAAGCTCATCACAGATGACTTTGTGAAGCAGAAGTAAGTATCGCCTGAGCCAACTGCGTCTCTCACTCGGGCGTCCTCTTGTTCTGGTCTGGCTGAGAGAGCCATCGTTTCCTATCTCAAATCTTCAACTGGAGGGATGATGGGTGCCTCTGGCCTGGTAGTGAGTGGCGGGAGGGCTATGTGAGCGTGTGGGGAGCCGAAGGCCAGGGCGGTGTTGGGAAAAGGGAGCGCACGTCACGGGAGGACACGGTGTGAGGTATGATAACGGCCACTGTCTCCTTGAACACCTGCCCCGTAGACTGACACAACGGTTAACCCCGGTTTACACCTAAGGAACCTGGGGCTCACAGAGGGGGCGCCTCTGAGCGTGGCTCACAGCTGGTCAGGGCCTCAGCCCAGAATCTCCTGATTTTCAGGCCAGGGCCCACCCTATCCCCGTCCCTGGAGGACTTGCCAACGCACAGGCGCGCATGCACACCCACAAAGGGTCAGGACTTCAGGAGGATGTCTGGGCCACGCTTCTCCTGGCTGGCTATTTCTCCCTTTCTGGTCGTTTCCTCTGGTGGGCCTCTCCGGGGCTCTGCCAGGGCGTGGCCAAGACCCTCGAGGCAAGGCGGGGTGTGCTCAGAGCAGGGGGCCTGAAGAATGGCTCCTCTGATTTACACACACCCAACAGAAATCAGGGCTCGTAGTGATGAGGGGCATAACATTGTGGCCTCGCTACAGATAAAGGCCCTACATGTGTCCCCCCTGCACCTCCACGTGGCCTCCGGGGAGGACCAATGGCAAGAGGCTTTGAAGGCCTCACTGTTGCAGGAAGAAGTCCTGCGAGTGGGTTTGGGGATTAGAGAAGGGCTGGAGGGGCGGGGCAGTCCTCTTCCAGGAGAGGAGCTGCAGCATCAGGCTGAGGAGGGGCCCCCTGGGACCCATCCATTCAGCGCCAGGTCTGCTTGGCTAGAAGCCAAGTTTCCTTCCCTCTCACGCCAAGGTACCTGGAATACAAGAAGATCCCCAACAGCAACCCGCCTGAGTATGAATTCTTGTGGGGACTGCGCGCCCGCCATGAGACCAGCAAGATGAGGGTCCTGAGATTCATCGCCCAGGTAAGGGGGGGCCTCTGTCCGGCACCCCGCACTGGGGGTGGTGGTCTCCACGTCTTGCTGGTTTCTGGGTCGAGGCCTCCTTCCCGTTATCCCGTATTCCACTGAGGATACCGACACTCACAGAGGACCTGAGCACCCTACACAAGGTCACAGATGGGGCAGAATCCCAGGTCTGGCACAGGATAGCAGGGGCCCCCGATCCCTGTGGTCTTGGTTTTTGCCGGCATTAGGCAAAGCGCAAGGAGGGGGTGAGGCGGGCCGAGGGCGCTCAGCCCGTGTGGGGTAGCTCCATGTCTACACTTGCCCCTTTCCTCCTCAGAATCAGAACCGAGACCCCGGGAGTGGAAGGCTCGTTTCTTGGAGGCTGTGGATGATGCTTTCAAGAAGATGGATGTGGATATGGCCGAGGAGCATGCCAGGGCCCAGATGAGGGCCCAGATGAATATTGGGGATGAGGCTCTGATTGGACGGTGGAGCTGGGATGACATACAGGTCGAGCTCCTGACCTGGGACGAGGACGGAGATTTTGGCGACGCCTGGGCCAGGATCCCCTTTGCTTTCTGGGCCAGATACCATCAGTACATTCTGAACAGCAACCGTGCCAACAGGAGGGCCACGTGGAGAGCTGGTGTCAGCAGTGGCACCAACGGAGGGGCCAGCACCAGCGTCCTAGACGGCCCTAGCACCAGCTCCACCATCCGCACCAGAAATGCCGCCAGAGCTGGCGCCAGCTTTTTCTCCTGGATCCAGTAAGAGTTTCGGTAGAGAAACGGGACTCTGCCGGAGGGCTGCGGAGTGGGGTGAGATGTCAGAGGGTGGGCGGGGGTGGTAGATGGGGGCAACGGCGACAGCGTGGACCGACACTTATTTTGTTACGTACACCCTCCCCGGATCGCGGGTGTGTCCGTGGATGTTGTCACTTTGGTTTCTTGCACTTTTATAGGCACCGCTGAGGAACTGCAGCGATCTTACTGGCCAAGCCAGAGCGCCTCCTCTCAGATTCCCTCTGGACACAGCACCCTAGGCAGCTGCTTTCTGTCCATCGGAAGTGGCGTGCAAGATGCAGCTCTCTTGCTTTTCCTGCTTTCGTTGTGTGCTTTTCCTTGTGCTTTCATGTTTTGGGTATCAGTGTTACATTAAAGTTGTAAAATTAGTTTGGATGTTTCTTCCTTCACCTGCCCCCCATTACTCCACCTGGCTGTGCTGGGCTTGTAGCAAGGCCACTTCCTCGGGCTCTCTGGGGTAGGTGGGCCCCACCTCTGCCAAAAAGGCCCACGGGGACAGGTGGGATGCTGGGAGGTGCGGCGGTTGGTTGCAGCTGAGTGTGTGACCAGGAGTTTGGAGAGGCCCCAGCGCTCGTGGTTATGTGATTTTTCTACAAGCCTTGACCGGCAGCCCCAGGGGCATGGCAAAAGGGAGGCCGGAGCAGGGGTGGGGTGGAAGACGGCAGCTTGGTGCCGGTGCCACTGCCCCTCCCGCCAGGGACAGGGTCCAAGGCTCTCGCCAGGACCCACCTCCCACACCCCCTCCTCGGAGACGATGTTCCGGAACCCTGGGCTCATCACCCACACAGTGCAGGACCCATCCTCGGTACGGAGTCTGACGGACAATGAGGTGGGCCTCGCAGTGATGTTGGCAGCCCTCCAGTGGGTAGGAGGAGGGGCCGTGATTGCCGAGGGAGCAGGATGTCATGAAAACAAGCCACTGTGCAGGCAGACACAGTCCGTCGCCTGTGACGGAAGGCGGCCTGTTTGGGGCTTCGCAGCCCTTCTCCCCCAGAAGCAGGGCTCTCCCAGTGAGGACGACACCAGGCCTACCTAGGTCCTGGAGTGTTCAAGGGTTGGGTGATGTCTGGAGGGCTCTGAGGTAGGGCTGCACACGCTTCAGGTGCCAGACAGTAAGGGCAGACAGTTGGCCTCCTGGGAAGGGCTCAGTGGCAGGCAGGGACAGTGTCCAGGGCTTTCTGGAGTTCCCTGGTATTGTCCAGGGTTTGGGAGGACAGAGCCCTAGATGAGGAAGGAGGACACAGTAGTGGAAGGCTCCCTGCCTCCCCCTACCCCCCCCCCAGCCTCTGTTTCCCCGGAGGGGCTCCCGTCTCTGCCAGGTCCAGATCCTGACCCAGACCGTGCTACCTAATTTGGGAGGCCCAGTGGAAAATGAAAACATGAGTCTCCTTGTCAAAAACTGTGAAGGATTTCAAAACAATGACAGCAGAGCATGGGGCCACATGGGGAGCCCTTGTGAGCATCACACTGCATAGGTTGCATCCCCAGGAAGCTGTCCTTCAGGGAGGATTGGCTGTGTCTCCATGTTGGCTGCCGCTGTGATTTCTGCTTCTCTGGTGCTTCACTCCATGCTTGGCCACACTGACATTCTGGGACTCTGACAAAAATCCAGTCCCAGAGTTTTACAGGCACACACCGCCCCCCCCCCCCACACACACAGAAACGGAGTCCCCATTCCCTTTACATCTCCTGGTCTATGGTCTGGGCTGTGGAAGAGACGAGGGATTTCTGGGACTCCAGCCCTGGTTTCACAAGTTTAACGCTATTTGGCCGGAACCTCCCTGGATATCCCTGTGCACATAGCAGGTACATGCCTCTCCTTGGATCGGGGTGGGGGAAGTCTCCATTAGCCACAGGAGTGAGTTTGAGCACAGTGTGCAGAGGGCACTTGAGATACGGAAGCTCAACCGGAAAGGAACAGGAAGCAGCTCTCAGAGGCAGGTCACCGCCTCCACAGGCCTACAGGCTTGCTAGACACTGCACCTTTCATGTCACCTTGCTGCGGTGGGGCCTCGCCAGGGGCCCACTCCCCCTACCCTGTAGCGGCAGCGCTGAAAGCAGCTGGGAAAAGAGGAGGAGAGCAGGGAGGCAGGAGTGCCCTGGTGGAAAATGGGGGCAGACTGGAGTGGGACTCCTGCAGGAGGCTCAGACCGGCCACCCTGGAGACGCCCACCACCTCACTCACACGGCAAACATGAGACCCAGGCAGGTTTCCCCTCCACTTTCAGCCTGGGGCATTCTGCAGACCCCACGCGACAAAGCCCCACAGTCCACACCAGCAAGTGTTTTCTGAGACCCTGCTGTGGCACTGGACAGCTCCCACAGCCTTCTCCCAGCCCGGCCTGCTCTCTCTGATCACCCCCGCCCCAGACCTGGCGATGGACGAGCATTCGTGCATTCACTTGTTTCCAGTTATTGACATTATCCATAAAGTTGTTCTGATTACCCGTGTACAACTTCTTGTCTGGGCCTATGTTTCCATTTCTCAGGCAAGCCTGAGAGGCAGGGGTGGTAAGCCCATTTCATGGTCTCAGCCAACCGAGGCTCTGAGAGGGAAGACACTCTCCCCAAGTTACACAGCCAGGAAGCAGCAGAGCACGGACTTGAACCCGGGGCCCCCTGAGGCCAGGCTGCATGCACTGGGCCCTGCTGGTGGCCACCCCTGCCATCCAGGGGCTCACAGTGTCCTGGGGGTGATACACCTACCTGCTGGGCACTCTCTCCTGACACCCACCCTCCCGCCCGCCTGCACATACCACTCCCCATCTCCCTTCATTTTGCATGGTCGCCACCCCTCATGGCTTCCCCGAAAGCCAGGTTCCATGCTAGGTTTCCGAGGCCTGCACCCTCCCTCCCAGCCTCCCAAGACATCGGTTTGGGTGCTTTCCTTCCTGGGCATCCATCCTGCTGCTCCTCCTTGTTTTTGTCCTCATCAGGCCCTGGGCCAAGGGCGTAGTGCCCACTGCCTCATGACACCCTCAAAGACAGTCTGAGCTACTACTGTACATCCTCCTCATACACTTGAGGAAACAGGCTCAGAGAAGGGAAGTGATTTGCCGGAGATCTCCGACCCAGCTCTGCCGCTGCCTCCACTAGTGACTTTGGCCCAGCCTCTTCCCTTGACCAGTGGCATATCGTTGGGGTGTGCACATGAAGAACCCTTCACCGGTTTGCCCATTGATTGTTATTTGGCGTCAATACGGAATTGTAAGAGTGCTTTTTTGTGTGCAAACTTTTCCTTTGTCGGGCAGTGTATTTAGCAAACATTGTCACAACCAATGGTTTGCTTTCTCATTTTGCTAACGATGAAAAGCCAGATTCTAAATTTGATGAAATTCACTTAACCTGTTTTTGCGTGGCTATCGCGTTCTGTGTCATAGCTGTAAGAGTTCTTCGCCTACAGCAAGATTCTCAAGGCTTCATCCTCCATTTTCTTCCAGAGGTCTTATGCTTTAGCTTTTTTGCTGACATTTAGGATCTTCACAGATTTCAGAAGTTTGAAATCATACCAAGTATCTTTTCTGACCACAACTGAATGAAACTAGAAACCAATAACAGAAGGAGAACTTAAAAAGTCACACATAGGTGGAAATTACAACACTCTCTTCAATAAGCAATGGGTCGAAGAACAGACCACAAGGATATTAGAAAATATCTTGAGACACATGAAAATGAAAACACCATATACCACAAGTAAGGAGATGCAGGGAAAGCAGTGTTAAGGGGCAAGTTTATTGTGTTAAATGCTTACGGTGAAAAAGAAGACAGATCTCAAATCAACAACCTGTCTTTATGTTTCAAAAACTAGAAAGGGAAGAACAACATAAACCCAAAGTTAGCAGAAGGAAGGAAGTAATAAAGATTAGAGCACGAATAAAGGAAATGGAGAATCGACAAATAATAGAGTAAAAAAAAAAACAATGAACCTAAGAGCTGGTGTCTCTGAAAAGGCCAACATAATGGACGAACCCATTAAGCAGATTAACTAAGAAGCAATCGAGAAGTGTCAAATAACTGAAATCGGAGTGACAGAGAGGCATTACAATTGATACTACAGAAATAAAAAGATTATAAAAACAAGACCAGGGACAACTCTACACCAGCAAATTTGATATTTTCGAGAAATGGATAAATTCCGAGAAACGTACCATGTTGCCAAGACTGACTCTTAAAGAAATAAAAACTCTCAGCAGATCTCCATAACTCATAAGGAGACTTAATCAGTCCTCTTCAACCTCCCAACAGAGAAAACCCCAAGACCAGATGGCTTCAGTGGAGGATTCTACCAAACATTTAAAGAAGAATTAGGACCAGAAACACACACACACACGCACACCCCAAAAGAATGTTTATGCATACATATTCAACAAAAGTCTAGCACACCCAGTTCAACAACAAGTGAAAAGCCCACGACCACCTGGGCTTCATTTGTGGAATGCAAGAAGTTTCAACCAATGAAAATCAATTAATTTAGTGTACGGCATCAACAAAATCAAGGACAAAAACCACATGATCGGCTCAATCGATGCACTAAAAGCATCTGACAAAAGTCAACCCCCTTTGTGATAAAAACACTCAAACTCCTTGGAACAGAAGGAAACAACCTCAACATCACAAGCGCCCTATATAAAGTACTCTCCGTGAACACCGTACTGGATGGCGAAAGAGTGAAAACTCTTCCTCTGAGATCAGGAGCAAAGCAAATGTCCACTTTTGCCTCTTCTTCTCAACATAGTCCTGGAATTTGAGAGGGCAATTCGGCAAGAAAATGGAATTAAAAGGCAACGAAAAAGAGAGAGATCATGAAGCAACCAGTGTCTGCAGTGGCTAAGGAGACATCGCAACGGACAACGAGCACATTAAAGAGATCATTACTCCAAATCATGAACACAACCTTATGCCCGCAAATCTGAAACTTTGGATATAATTTACACATTCCAAGAAAATACCACAAAATGACAGAAACAG